TGAACTTCTGCTTTTCACAAGTAAAAAGACGACCACTGTGCAAACGAGGTCACATCGATTGCAGCTTATCTGATTTGCAGCTTCGAGAGAAGTTGTACTGTGCAACTTTTGACTCCATCGGAAAAACCCGCCATCAGATCCGGTCTCCTCCACGCGCGCGCACACAAACACACGTCAATGTTAAGGGGAAGATAGGGACTTAAGATAAGATGATGTATAATTTTGTTATCTTAGAAATTTATAACCGATATTTGATTGTGTTTTGCTCTGCTCTTTTATGTGAAAGAACAGACTTAAAGCATGCAGATCAATCTGAAAAGAGATTTCTTATTGAAGTGAAGTGTGTGCGCGCGTTTGCCTGGTCATCTCTCAGCGAAACATCACTCTTCCATCTGAAAGACTAGACTCAAAACATTTTATATCACCTGTTCACCGACCTTGACAATTGTTTTGCAAAAGTTTCATCACCACCAGCCGAGGTGACATCATCAGTGCTTGTGAAATGGCCAAACTCGGCAAACAGGCGAAATGGAATCCAGTTCACCCGGGATATGAGGACCGATTTTCAATATTTTGTTAAAGAACTCAAAAAATGCAGATTATTCTGGAAAGAGACATCTTATTGAAGTGAGCAATCATTATCAACAGAATATCTATAAGATATATTTCTTTTAACTGAGTTTAATTTTATTTCAAATTCCATCACACTGCTCCTTCCAAAGTGTCACAACTCACATGAAAGCAGTGTCAGGGGTAGTCAGGTGACTGCTGTTATAGACCGAGTTCGAAGTTTATAGTTAGCCTCCCACTTTGTTCTTGGAAACTGTTTACCCACTAGAGTGTGGTGTGGAAAGGCAAAGGGACGAGACACATGAGGTTTGGTCATAAATAACCATAATGACAAAATATCATGACTTTTCATTTGGATTATCAACGGATTGCCGTGTGAATGAATACAACACTTATCGTTGATATAATAACAAATTTTATATAGTCTTTGTCGCAGAAAACAACCGCCATCAATTTTGTCTAAGGTTTTATACATATGTATATATATATATATGTATATTTGATAAGAAGTAATATGTGAATGACCGGACAAAATTTCCCTGGAAGCACACGACCGGTTTCACGGTTCTTGCCGCCCGTCAGGCATGCGTATCCGGTAATCTTTCTCACTTCATTCATGTACTTATACGCAGGAAATGTATTTTCGTCATATATATATATATATATATATATATATATATATATATATATATATAATGACCGAACTGCTTATACTACACACTGAATCACATGACAATTTTAACAATAGCACACACAACTCATTCCGTGCACCAAATTTTATTCACCCCCCACCAACGTTTGTTCAAATTTTGTACAATGATCATACAACTCCGTTACTGCATAGAAAAATAAAAGACGGATGTTGATCATGACTTTGCTACATAGACTGAAACCATACCGCTGAAGATGCACACCGCAGCTCAGTACGTGATTTGTATGAGTTAGTCACGTTCCGAGTGTGTTAGCCGATCGATACCCAGTGGTACCGTGCTGAACAATATTCACGTCGCACATGTTTTGGATGAGTGAGGCTCATCAAGGTCATTCGTTGAAATTGAAGAATAGCGCGTACGATTCAAGGTTATCGGAACTGAAACAAAGAGAACTATTCACTTTAAACGATCTGGACACAAGTATGGGCAAAATTATTAATCACAGCGGAATTCGATGCAAACTGTCTGAGCAAGCCAGGACACAGCGTTTGTGTGCTACTTTAAATCCGGTCACAACGATCAGTACACTTGGATCTAAGTGTATGGTGCGTACAGTAACCGTCACAAACTATGACCAAACTAACAACTGAGGAAGATTGTATGAAAATCATGGATAAGAGACTGCCATATTGCAGACTAAGTTGCAAAGGTTCGAAGCCATATCAATAAAACATCTGAATGGAACTTTGTCGTGTTTGGCGCAGATGTTTAACCTCGACGGTCCTGATGAACTCATGTACCACTGGCATGATCCGCGTAAGTGCAAGATGACCTTCAGCCTTTGAGCCTATACTTTGGGGTCTTTGGTGGGGTACCATGTTTGAGGATAGAAAGTCTCAGGTGACAATTCTCGAAGCAAATCAGACAATTGATTATTAGATCAAGACTTAGAACAAGCTTCTTTTGCGCCGAGCGATTACCGAATATCCATTAAGACCGCGAACTTTTCAGCATCACACAGAATTCAGTTCAACAGAATGTGGTTGTTGCACATCTATGGTCGGTCCACATCTCGGATTTGTATCTAAATTAAAATATCTGAGGTGTCTAATAACGAGGCAGTTTACGCGTATGGATGGCAAGTGTGTGGTAATCAAAGTAGACACAGATTACGTATCACGAGATATAGTCGCAACAGAAGCCCAGAATTGCACTGGCAATCTGAGGCTGGAATCTTACGACACCGAGAGGCAGGAAACAAGTGACAAAAGTATCGATTCGTTTATTGAAAAAAAATAATGGGTTTAAATAATGTTTAAATAGAAATGTCATTGGTCAAACGAGTAATAATCAGTCGCCGTCCTTGTCCTTCGAGTCATACGGCTTCCGTTGGAACTGCATGACTGTTG